GATTAAAAAAAAAGGAAAAATTTTGTATTTGGATCCTAAGATTTGGCTAAGATAGATAAAGATAGATAGGGTAATTTCTTTTGTAAAAAGGGGAGGACTAGAATTTAAAATTTGACTCAAATAGAAAAATTGAAACAATTGTTTATTGTTTGGTGTATAATTTATAAATTTTGAAATATTGGGCATAATCAATAATTTTTCTTTCCTTTCGTCAAAGTTTTAACCTGATTCTAGGCAATCAGATGAATTCTATATATATATATATATATATATATATATTCATGATGATTTTTTTCATTTGGAAAAAAATATGAACGAAAATTGAATCTAAAAATACTTTAGAGAGGAAAAAGTGTGGACGTTAAACTTATTTCAAAACATATCTTCAAATACACAAATATACAACACAAACTAAAACAACAATTCAAACAAATCCAAAATTTGATCTAAATTTTCTTGGAACAACACATGTATCATAGGCAAAAAAAAAATGATTTTTCTTTTCATATTTGTAGGGTGTCCACTGTCGGCAACAGTGACTAATCTCTCACACTGAATTGTAGACACTTCGATGGGTAAAACAGCTGACCAAAATATCCTTCTCACTGAATTGTAGGCACTTCGATGGGTAAAACAGCTGATCAAAATATTTAAAGTTACTCCATGCCCATGGTGAGGTTCGAACCCTCAACATATGGTTAAGGGTGGAAGAGTTCCTTCCACTCCACCACAACCAGTTTGTTAAGATACTACGTTTACAAGTTTAGTAAATTTGCTTGAAATCAGCCCTGTGAAGTACGGAACTAGACCATCATTGATTCATCTATTGATGGATACTGGATAGGCACTTGAAGTTAACACCTATAGGGTCATTCTTTTTTCATTATTTAGAGAAAAAAATGAAATTCGAAAACCATCCAACACAAATGGGTGACTTGATGTTCTGGAAACTGGACATGTTGGAGAAAACAAATGGTAGCCACTTGAACCCAAACCATTTCTTAGAAAACTGTCTAGGCCAGTCGAAGTATTTTTTCCACTGACCTTTAGACCAAAGATCCAGTCTCCGAACAATTTTATGGACAGCTACTCATTTCCGGCCCAACAAAATTTCCATCAATATTTATATATATATATATATATATATATTTTTTTTTTTTCGTGTGTGAACATTCATCCATTTTTTCGTCTACATTCTATGTCACTATCATTTATCATCTTCTATCATCTTTACCATCTCACTCACGACATACACTTTAACCGTTATTACTTTTTATTTATTTCGTTTTAAAATTATTGTCTAGTCTACCTTTTACATTACTACCATTTATCATCTTCTACTATCTTTACCATCTCATTCACGACATACTCTTTAACCGTTATTACTTATTACTTTCTATTTCTTTCGTTTCAAAATTATTGTCTATTATGAATTTTTATTTTTAGTTCGATTTTTATTAAAAATAAAAAAAATGCAAATTAGATAATTATTTAGCGTAATACTCCATCCATCCAAAAAAAAAAATAGTCCACTTTAATAAAAATTATTGTCCCAAAAAATAATCTAGTTTCAAAAAATTAAAATAAAATTTGAACCAAAATACAAAATTACCCTTACAACCAAATTAAATTTACTACTACCCTAACATAAAACCAGCCCCAAAATCAACCAAACCTACCCATGTCTGCAAAATCAATGTTCTCTTTTTTTTTTTGGATAAATAGCCAACAGGCTAGGATTAATTATGCATCATACTAAATCAAAGTTTTTTACATCCGACTCTAATAGCAAAACTATACAATTCGAGGAAACATAAAAAATATGTAACCTCCTTCGGGAGCCTAATGCTTCCTTAGCGAGTGCATCCACACACGAGTTATTATCTCTACTCGTATGCTCAAAATGCACCTCCCAATCTTTAAGCAAAAGATTAAAAATTCCTCTCAACTCCGGGTCAAGAGGAGTTTGCATCTGGTTCTTGAGTTGGTACACCAAATCAAATGCCACTTGGGAATCAGTTTCCACCGCCAATTTTGTGACTCCCAGTTCTCTAGCAATATCCATACCTAGTAGGATGGCTCTGATAAAATCAATGTTCTAACCGCCGATTGGGAATTCCTTTCTCTACCTCTCCGGCGAAATTCCTTCTGCTAATTTAGCCTCAACAGCGGAGAGAATCCCCCTCTCTCTGACTAGAGTTTTAGAGGAAGGAGAGGATTTCTGCAAGTGTGAGAATTATGGTGGTGATGAACTTTTTGATTTTGCAATACCGGTGGGAGTTAATTAAGGTGTAATTTGGAGTTCAATTGAGGATAGAAATGGTGATGCAAGGTGAAGAGGGTGGAGGAGTCGCAGTGTTGTGCGGTGGAGCTGTGGACAAATGCTTTTGGATTTAAGGTCGGCTGTTGGAAGAAGTGCCGAGAATGATTCTGAGAAAAATTCTCGATGTACAAATTAAATTACGGATATAATCGAAAATATAAAGAAAAAATTGACTTGTACAATAGTTGATCAAATTAAAAAAGACGTACATTTTAAAACTGAACTAAATTGAACTATTTTTGTGGAAGGGAAGAAATAATATTTCGAAATAGTATTTCGAACTAAATCAGATTCCATGTGTGACACAAACCCAAAAGAACAGTTTTGCACAAGAAGTTTTGCCTTCCATTTTGACATGATGAAGTTTGTTATGGCAGGAGGAGTAGTAGTAGTAGGAGGATTAGACAGTGTAGACATCAATAAAGTAAGAGATAATGTAAGAATTTACCTGTGTTTTAACTTATATTTTAAAGAGTGGTGGATTTTTTTTTAACATAATTATGCATACGAAATTATATTATCCCGAGTAATCCCGACTTATGGAGTTATGAAGACACATTTGTACTTTGAAATTTAATAAATAAATCATCATCATCAATAAAATCTTTTTTTTAAAAAAAAAAAAAGAAAAAAAAACTTTTTTTTGACTACCAACAACTACATACTAATCCACTATACTACCCCATGCTTCCCCATTCCATATACATCATGAACCTGTGACCGAGATGAAAGAGAGTGCAGAAAAGTCTTCGTATGCAAAAGAGGAGCCGTAACTTTTCCTCTTTTTTCTAACCCCCACACACACACACACACACACACAACACCATCAAAGCGTGAGAAGATGAAAGAGAAAGAGAGAGGAAGTGGTTAAAAAAAAACAAAGACTTTATTATTTACTGCATCCTCTTTTCTCTTTCTACATTATAGTATACAGTAGTGTAGTCTGCAGCTCTGCAAATAATAGCTTACCTATTCATAACAGTGAAAAAAAATTGAACAGCTGCCAACTCGTTACTTGTTGCCTTTCTAAAAAGTTGGTATTGGTTTTTGGTTCTTCTCATCGTCTCTCCATCTTGTCCCTGTCTTATTCTGTCCATGGATGAAAACGACGCCGCTTTCCGCAAAAAAGGGCTGGACTGGTTTTTCTTCCTATTTTTTCTTTTTGTTTTCGTTTCACTTTTTCCTTCACCCTCTCTTCAAGCCCCCTTGTGGCTCCAACCCTTCAACGCCGACCCATATCTGCGACCTTCATCACCGAAAATTTCGAAAGTTTTGTTTGTTAAGTTTTTTTTATGGTATTTTCAAAATATTTAAATAATAATTATCTCATTTTAAATTTTTAATATACCGTTTTACATTAGCAATACAAAAAACACCTGAAAACATACACTAAAGAAATAAAACAAACATACCCGCGACTTTTTATTCTAAAAAAACGACTTCCTTTTGATACCGAACCAGAATAAGACAGGGGCAAGATGGACAGACGATCAGCTCTCCCCACCATCATTCATCAAAAACCATCCATCTTTTTTTACTTTCCTTTCCCCTTTATTCCAACACCCCTCCACCCATTTTCACTGTTTTGTGTAATCTCTTTGAATAATTACCTCATAAATGCCCGTATTTATTATATTTATTACTGTGTGTCAAAACAACAACAAACAACAAATCTTCCAGTCGTTTCCAAAAAAAAAAAAACAACAAATCTTCCCGTCAACCACACACATGAATACTATATTGTAATTTTTAAGTGATCAATAATATATACTTTATTTGTTCTAAAATTATTTATTTTGAAATTTCACTTGTATTATAATTTGAATTAAAGATAAAAATCCAAACTACACAATAATCTATTAATTTTTACATACAGACCCAAGTGTCTATTGGGTTTTCTTTTTTCTTTTGTTTGTTTTTATTAATCTTGTCATTTTTCACTATAATTCTAATTTTCATGAATAAAAAATAAGCAACAAGAATGACCAAAAGAAAAAAGAAAAAAGAAAAAAAGGGTTTTACTCTCCATAGCTAATACTAATATACTGCTACGGCTACTATTGATACAGTAGGCTTCATTTATTACAAGGGAAGAAGATACATATCTGTAGAGTAGACTTGCAAACTTCAAATCAATGGCCCTGCTCTGCAGAGAGCTAAGCCCCGCAAACAGACAAGAACGTACAAAAAGATGGTGAAAATTGTTTAAACCAAAGATCATTTATGTGTCCCATTAAAGAGATCCTTTACATCATAAGAATACTACCTATTAAAATGACTACCTTCTAATATATTACATTATTCAAATAATATAATAAACATGACAATAATGATGGTTTTGTGGGTGTTTTGGTTTGGTGAAAGAAAATGGTAATAATATGTTTCCTTGGATGGGATGTTGAGGGTTTTTTAAGGTTGAAATTCTAAAATGATCTTAAACTCAAATTAATTTATAACAATGCATGTAGCATGATGGTTGTGTTTGATACATTGTAGTGACAAATAATCATCACTGATCATATTCATGTCATATGTTTTTATATGGAACCAAGTATTTGTTGGTAGTAAATTTTTTCTTTCTAAAATCATAAGAAGTTGAAATGATATTTTTTTGAAGTGGCCATTAAAGAGGAAAACTCCCCTCACTGGTCACAAGGAAGCAGTAGGGAAGTGATACCACAAGCAAACAATAGGATTGCTACAAAAGCACACTGTTTCAACACACAGACACACAGTGGGGAGGGTGTTTATAATTAAAGTTTGCATTGCCCTCTTTCTTGGATTTTGGTGTTTTCTCCCTTTGGGAGCAGAAAAAGCAAAAAGACTAGTCATCAGACTACACAGTAGCCTTAGACTGTTGTCTACTGTATTTGTTTTTCTCTGTTTCCCAACAAATTTTTCATTTTCTTTTTCAATTCAATTTCTCTCTTTTTTTTAGGTCTTCTGGTTTTGTAAGCAATTCTGTCTTCTGTCCTAAAGGCTAAAACCACCCTCTCTCTCATCATCATTTATCTTCCATCATCCCATCCATATACTATCTCTGTATATTTGATGAATTAACACAGTACACAGTAAAGGCAGCAGTAGCAACAGCAACAACAAACGTCAATTTTCAATATTTCTCTTTCCAAATTTCACTTTCTCTCAAATTCTCGAGATCGGAGACTTTAAGATAAAAAGGACCAAGAGAGGGACACCATTGAAATTTTTCTTTCGGCTTTACTATTTCAGCTTCAAAGTTCAAACCCTTTTGTTTTTCTTCTTTATTTCTCATTTTGCAGTGGAAAAAGATCAAATCTTTCATGACTCAGAGAGGTGGCTCTCTTTGAAGGAGAGAGCCAGCCTGTTCATGCATCCTAGGAATAATAAGAAAAGCCCACCATTTTTAAGCTAAAAAATCTCAGTACTGTCTGCTGTATTTCTTGTTGTAAAAACCCAGTTATAATCAGGAGCTGTTAAGTAGAATAAAGTCTTTTCTCTCGTTGCTGTACAAATTCTGGTTGTGGGTTCTGGTTGTTTATGTCTCTTTCTATGAATAGAGACGCAATCTTTGGTGGAAGCAGCAAAAATATGGATAATGGCAAGTACGTTAGGTACACGCCGGAGCAAGTTGAGGCCTTGGAAAGGGTCTATGCTGAATGCCCTAAACCCAGTTCTCTGAGGAGGCAGCAGCTCATTAGGGAATGTCCCATTCTCTGCAACATTGAGCCTAAACAGATCAAAGTCTGGTTTCAGAACAGAAGGTTTGTAGTACTTTCTAGCTTTCCTTCCCCATTCTGCATGTTTACAAAAACCAGGCCTTTCTTGTGTTTGTCTCTCCTATTTGTTTTCTGATTGTTTGGGATGTATGTGCACATCTTGCTTTCCATTTCTGAATTCTCTGTGAATAAAGAGCGTGGTTATGAATGTTTAATCTTTTGTATAATCTTCTTTTGTTGCTGCATTAATGCTGCTTACCATTTATGTTTCCTTGGAAGTAATGGGAATGGGTACGGATGGATCTGCTTTCCTATGTTCGTTTCTATCTTGTTTTTTATTCTGATGTTTTTTACCATTGTATCCTGCACTGTTTCAGATATAAGGACTGGTCAAGAATTTGTTTTATTGGGATTGTCTCAATGTCTAGTTTTTCATCTTGTCATTTTTTGTCTGATAACAGTCACTTTATCCTTTTTAAAGTTTAGTAACCATTGCATGTAACGGATGTGTCTAGCGTTGTCGTGTTTTGATTGGCATAGTTTCTTGCTAAAAAATACTGAATCTTTATGTTTACTCCAGTTCCTAAACTTTAACAATGTTTTGAATAGTTAATAGGAAGCTAATCACTGTAATGAGTCCGCTTCCTCTGGGAAAACTATGTTCTGTTGCTTCTAATGTATGTTTCCTGTTGTTGAAGTAATCTCGATTTGGCATGTAAACAAAACAGGATGATAGATTTTTGTGGTGATTAATGTCAAAGATAAATGCCTGTATTTGCCCATTATAAAATCTATTTTATTTTCTCTCACTTTGGAATATCTTCCTTAACAATTTTTACTTTCTTTGTGGAGTTCCAATGAGTAGCCTTTGATGTGCACATTTGCGGCTTTTCCTTCTATACTTTGAAGTACATATTGAATTTTGAAAATGGTAACCTTATCTGGTGTTGCTGCTTCTGAGTCTGTAACCTACACATTTTCACGATTTGATGCTTAAGATTATCCCAACTGTAGGTTTTTTACCTGTGTCTAGTGCTGTATATATATGCAGTTTGTTTGGTCTGATGTGCCATGTGGTTAAATGGGATATGTGCCAAACACAAAGGAATAGTTATAGACCTGTTCATAAGCTCGGCCTTTTTCTTTTTAAAAAAAAAGTATCCTGCAAGTAGGTAGTCAACTACAGAGAGTGAGTATTACCTGTTATGGTATTGTAACATTCTAGATCATGGGTTTGGAATTCAAGTTGTACATTGTGGGCCTGAGTCTGACATTGGATGAAATTTACATTCTTATCTTCTCCAGATGCCGCGAAAAGCAAAGGAAGGAAGCTTCTCGGCTTCAGACTGTGAACAGGAAGCTAAATGCCATGAACAAGTTGCTGATGGAGGAGAATGACCGCTTACAAAAGCAAGTCTCCCATTTGGTCTATGAGAATGGTTTCATGCGCACTAAGATACAAACTGTAAGTTATTGATTTAGCTGGACTCTGGCTGGAAATAAACCTTGAACAAACTTTATCTTTATCTCGTCATATTTGGTAAAAAAGATAACTCGCTTTAAATTCTACATCATCTCTGAATACCATGAAATGTTATGGCTGTCTTTTAAATAAAAACTCTGTTGAGTTATTGCATTTTGTTAGTTTTCTGTTATCTATGGACCATTCTGCATTATTGTAAGTTGTCCTTATGTGATTGTTGGGATTCTTTCATCTTAATAGGTAAGCGCAACGACCACAGATGCAAGCTGTGAGTCTGTGGTCATGACTGTTCAGCAGCAACAAACTAACCCAACACCTCAGCATCCACGAAAGGATGCTAATAACCCAGCTAGGTATCTATCATGCTATGCTTTCCTCAACTATTGTGATCTTAACTTCTTGTTGGGCTTTTAAGCTAATCCAACAATTCTACTGTGCTCAGTCTTCTCGCTGTTGCTGAGGAGACCCTGGCAGAGTTCCTTGGTAAGGCTACTGGAACTGCTGTCGACTGGGTCCAGATGATTGGGATGAAGGTATTGCATATTGCCTTGTTGAATTAGTGTTTCCTTTTTCTTGAATGGTTCTTTTATTTGTTGTGGTTTCTAAGTTTTAATATTTCCCTTCTGGAATTTCTAGCCTGGTCCGGATTCTATTGGCATTGTTGCAGTGTCCCGCAACTGTAGTGGGGTAGCTGCACGTGCTTGCGGTCTTGTGAGTTTAGAGCCCACAAAGGTAAGTTATAATGTCGGCCAACACCTTTTCCATTTTTGGTTATGATGTAAAATGTTGGTGATAGATGATTAGTTTGATTAAGTTTGATGAACATCTTTGACTTGTGATTCAGGTCGCAGAAATTTTCAAAGATCGTCCTTCTTGGTTTCGGGACTGCCGATGCCTTGACATACTTAGTGTAGTTCCTGCCGGAAATGGAGGGACAATCGAGCTTGTTTATATGCAGGTGCTTTGGTTTTTCTAAGACTAATTGTGATTGTCATGAAGTTTTGATCCCAGATATAAAATTCAATGCATATTGTGTGTACTGACATTAAAAAAATTCTTATTTTAGACTTACGCGCCTACCACTTTGGCATCTGCTCGTGATTTTTGGACATTAAGATATACAACTAGCCTGGAAGATGGCAGTCTTGTGGTAATGTGACAACTGATCTCTATGACCTAATGTAGCATGTAATTTTGTTATTCATTTGAGCTTATCCACTTTTGGGCTTGAATTATGGGTTGTGCAATGAAGGAAAAGAGAGGTTTTCCATTTCTGTTGAAATGCTAAGAAGTAGTTTGGAACAAATCTTTCCCTTGGTTGAGTGTATAACTCTTTTTCCTAGTGTTTTAAAAGAGAGTAACGGTGAGATGTGAATAGGTGACTTATGTTGCTGATCCTAAAAGTGCGGTGAACGCTTAGTTGTCATAATTCCTTTGTTGTATTTGATTTCTATGGCCTTTCAAACCTTCCTCAAAAGTTGTTCGGATGCTTTGCAGATTTGTGAAAGGTCTCTCACGTCTTCTACTGGTGGCCCAACTGGTCCTCCATCTACTTGCTTTGCTAGAGCTGAAATGCTACCCAGTGGATGTCTGATACGCCCTTGTGAGGGTGGTGGCTCCATCGTTCACATAGTTGATCACATTGACTTGGATGTCAGTCTTAATACTTTCTTCTTTTCTTTTTCTTTTTCTTTTTCCATTCTATCACTTGTTTACAAGCTCTCTCCCTGAGAATCGTTTTTGTTCTGATGTAGGTTTGGAGTGTCCCTGAAGTTCTGAGACCTCTTTATGAATCATCCAGGATCCTTGCACAGAAGATGACGATGGCGGTATATATATTACTGTTTGCTGCTGTTTTAGTCTCGTGCATTTGTATTTGATGTAGTTATAAATCCTAATTTGGTTAAGTTTTTCTTACAGGCTTTACGACATGTACGCCAAATTGCTCAGGAAACGAGTGGGGAAATTCAGTACAGTGGTGGACGTCAGCCTGCTGTCTTGAGGGCATTAAGTCAGAGATTGTGCAGGTAGAGGCCACAATAATCTAATTTCCTAAACATAATTTTTGGTTCTGTCTACCCCTCTAATTTGGACCTCAAGATTATTTTCTAGCAGTGAAATAATTAATTTTTGTTTCATTTAAAATCTGCTGAGAAAGAATGGGGTGGGTTGCAAACCATTTGGATGATTTTTATCTTTTAAATCTTAGGGAGGCAGTTTTTATGATCTTTTGATTTTCTTTTCTTACTATTTGTTGTAGGGGATTCAATGATGCTGTTAATGGCTTTATGGATGATGGATGGTCAATTATGGGCAGTGATGGTGCAGATGATGTAACTATAGCTGTCAATTCATCACCAAGCAAAATCCTTGGTTCCCAGTATAGTACTCTGTCTATGCTTCCCAGCTTTGGGGGAGTAATGTGTGCAAAAGCATCTATGCTCCTTCAGGTTGACTATTTAATCACTTCGTAAATTAGAGCATATTCTGTCTGTTCACTTCTATCTAGTTTAAACTGTAGATTTGTTCAAACCGTTTTTCTCATTTACGTAAGTAGTTAGTAATTACTGTTGTGCTGCTTTCCACTAACTAATTGTGTTCACGATTTCAGAATGTTCCTCCTGCCTTGCTTGTTCGTTTTCTGAGGGAGCACAGATCTGAGTGGGCTGATTATGGTGTGGATGCGTATTCTGCTGCTTCTCTGAAAGCTAGCCCTTTTGCAGTTCCATGTGCAAGACCTGGTGGCTTTCCTAGTACCCAAGTCATTCTACCTCTTGCTCAGACTGTGGAACATGAGGAGGTAATCAACTGTTTTTGACCTTATAACGACATTGCAGCTGATCTTTTCATCTCGATTTTGGTTTTTATTGATTCACTTGTGTGCTCCTGCTCTAGTTTCTGGAGGTTGTTCGATTGGAGGGTCATGCTTATTCCCCAGAAGAGATTGCTCTATCACGTGATATGTATTTATTACAGGTCTTTCTTTGTTTAACTGGCCATCAATAATTTATTTTGACTTTTTAATGCATTTATTATCCTTGTTTAATAATTGTTGTTTTTGTTTTTTGCAGCTATGCAGCGGGGTTGATGAAACTGCTGTTGGTGCCTGTGCTCAGCTAGTTTTTGCTCCCATAGACGAGTCCTTTGGAGATGATGCACCGTTGCTGCCGTCTGGCTTTCGAGTTATTCCGCTGGATGCTAAATCAGTTTAGTTCCCTACTTTTGGCCTTTAAACAATTGCAATTATGTACCAGATCATCTCTGTTTTTGAAGGACCATATTTGAGCGATGAAAATTGTGAAGAATGGCTCTCAAAATAACGACTGGAATTTAGCTGACTTGCCTTTTTGCACGATATTATACGTAATCAACTTTGACATCAAATGGTCTTAAATTATTGATCCAGTTTCTCTTAACTGCTGCTAACATTGTTGTGATCAGCTTTGGAATAATTTATACGCATATTCAGCTTGTTGAAGTTTTTGATATCTCTGGAAGCCTGTCTTACTCCTGCCTTTGATTGTGTGTGTAGGATGCACCTGGGACTTCTAGGACTCTGGATTTAGCTTCCACGCTTGAAGTGGGAACTGCTGGAGCACGCTCAACTGGTGATGCTGACTCCAAGAACCAGAACCATAGATCGGTTTTAACTATTGCATTCCAGTTCACTTTTGAGAATCACTATCGTGAGAATGTGGCTGCAATGGCCCGTCAGTACGTTCGAAGCATTGTAGCCTCTGTTCAGAGAGTTGCTATGGCCATTGCACCTTCGCCACATAGTTCCCACCTGCTACCAAAGGTGTCTTTACCTGGTTCGCCAGAAGCCATTACTCTGGCACGATGGATATGGAGGAGTTACAGGTGGGAGACTCACAAAATTTATTAACCTTTCTTTTATGACATTAGCGGGCCAGTTATTAGTTTGCTGTGACTTCCTTCAATTTTACCTCTGTTCCTTATTTAATGTTCCTTGTATGCTACTGTTTAGGATATGTTCTATTTGCACTTGTGTGCCTTTATGTTCAATACCCAGACCACCTGCAATTCAATGCCCTTATGCAACATAAACCAGACAATCTTTGTTTAATTATTGGGTCTTCCCTCCATTTTTTTCCCTGCATTTGAGTGCCTTCTGACTTCTCCTGCACATACTTGTGACTTTCAGGTTGCATACTGGGGGAGAGCTTCTTCATGTGGAATCTCATGGAAATGACCATATCCTGAAGCAGCTGTGGCAGCATTCTGATGCTATAATGTGCTGCTCTGTAAAATCAAATGTGAGTAGTGCTAATTTTGACCTTGTAGCCCTAAACCCTAAACCCTAAACCCTAAATTCTTATCTAAATTCTTATTTAACTTTTTGAAATTGAAATAATAGAATTTTATCTAAATTCTTATTGAAACTCTCGCTGCGCTACTGTTGTTTATCTTCATGCAGGCATCTGCAGTGTTCACATTTGCAAATCAGGCTGGTCTAGACATGCTGGAAACGACTCTCGTGGCTCTTCAAGATATTATGCTTGACAAGATCCTTGATGATGCTGGTCGAAAGATGCTTCTTTCTGAGTTCTCTAAGATAATGCAGCAGGTAATATGTGGATTTTTTCTTCTTTTGGTAAGCAGCAGTTTTAATGGATATAAAGTACAAATTGGCACTATTTTCAATTTGTGATTCCATCACAATATAACTTGTATGACATTATTTGTATCCTCTAAACTGTGTCGGAAATTATATTATTAGCTCTAAGGATGCTCACCTGCATTATAAGTGAGTGATTAACTCATACTGGTCTTTCTATCCGTGTTGCTGCAGGGCTTTGCTTACTTGCCGGCAGGAGTGTGTGTATCTAGCATGGGCAGGCCTATATCATATGAACAAGCGGTAGCATGGAAAGTTCTCAATGATGATGATTCCAATCACTGCTTGGCTTTCATGTTCATGAACTGGTCTTTTGTGTGACAAAAGGTCTGACGCTGGAAGCTGCAGTGAGCTGAATGTTCCTAGAATGTTAAGTTATTTACCTTTTACTTTGGTGAACTTTTGCGAGTTGTTTAAAACATGGTAATTTAGCCCCACTAGGGGTTCCTAAACACTTAAAAAACTTATGTGTCCTAATGTTGTCAACTTACCTGAAGTTTGCTACTTAACTTTTTCGAATGTATTAGTACTTTGTATTACCTAATAATTACCATCTGCCGTGCTGTCATGCCATTTTCTTTGCGTAGAATGTGCACGAGCTCAGATTATGAGCTCAGATGCTCAACCGTGTGTTATCTACCAATGAGCTAAAGAAAATCTCTACAAGGAACTTTCCCGATATGGCTGTGGGGGGCATGCCGTTGTTTTTTTCTGTTGTGTAATTACAATGAAATAGTCAATACAAGGGTCGGAGGTGAATATTGGAACGGAGGGGAGTATAAATCAAATGATTCAATTCACATTGTCTTGCGTTTGTGTTCTGAGTTAGTTAAGTTATGCCAAGGTAGCTAATAAATCAACTATAGTTGCTCACTAATGTGGAGATTTCACTATTAGCCATTCCAGGTGCAGAACCATAGAACAACAATGAGCAGTTAAATCTCCTCCCGTCTTTCAAGAGAGGACAAATCAGTACCTCTTATTCCTAAGCATTCTTTCTTTTGATTAAGATTTAAGAGCATCCACTCCAATCTTTTCATTGCATTGCATCCAATTTTCTTTACCCGTTTTGATTAAAACATCCAAGATAGAAAGATATGTAGTTTCCACTAAATTAAAAAATTTTGCACACAGAAGGATAGTTGTACAATTAGAAAATTAGGATAAAAACCAAAGGGTTGTGGTAGAGTGGTAAGGACTCCTCTACCCTTAACCATAAATTAAGGATTCAAACCTCGCCATGCCGACGTGGACACCCTACAATATGCAAAAATAAAACTGGGATAAAAGGGCCATCTAACAATCTAATTTCCCTATCCTCCCCAAAAATTCCTTTGAACTCATAAACAATTCCCGTCCTCCACAATGCGGTAGAAGTCAGAACTCTGACCCACTTTGACCGGCCCAACTGGCCATCCGGCTTGGGCTTATCTTATAAGCCCAAGAAGTCTATTTATTCCTTCCTAAAGGCCCAGCCGGGTTACAAGGAATAAATACATGTTTATTTACGCTTTTGCCCCTCCCAACACAGGGGCCCACAGGTATTGTCCCATCGGGACCTATAAATACTCCTTGTTCATTTATTGCTAACTCAATTTCACACTCCCGTTTCTCTCTCTAAGTGTGATAATTGCCTACTTCTCTCCCTAGAACTGACTTAATTTTCGAAGTGCTAACCTCCGTCTTGCAGGTTCCTGTCTAGGTCGGACCGTTGACTCTCCGCCTCAGGATTTACCCTCGACAAGTGGCGCCGTCTATGAGAAAATCCATTCCCGTTTGGCCGAGGGCAAATCAAGTTGTTCTACGAGAGTAATGGTCTCCACCCGGACAAGGCCCGACGAAGGGACGAGTCGCAGGCCTGGATTGAGATCGAGGGTGGTAGGGGGGAGTTCCTGCGTATCTGCCCGGTCCCGCGGAGAACACCGAGACAAGGAGGATGCCGAAGAGGCTTCCCGAACTAATGACCGTCAGGGCCGCTCGAGGAGGTCTGACGATCCTCGCGAGGGCCACGGCCACGGATCAGCTGAACACCGAAAGAGCCGGTCCCGCCGGACCAGTAAAGAAGCGGAGAGGAGCAAAGAACCTTCCAAGCGTCCTCACCCGTCCCGTTCACCTGAACGAGGGCCACATGACGACAGCTTCTGGAGATCCTTTGCCGGAAGATTCCCTGGATTCGAAGAACAGTTCAAAAAGTTCGAGAACATGTATTATGGAGGCAAAGGCGAAGGTCCGGACGACAGTCTCATGTTCATGGGGGAACGAAGGGTCTCTCGGGGTCGAGATCGATCCAGAGAACGCGACCCTAAAACCCCACCAAGACTCGAGCCGTGGGTGGACTGCGAGGATGTGTCAGATCCCCGGCTCGAGGCTATACTCAACAGTAGGGAGACGCTGGGAAGTCCTTTCGCCGAGCATATCCGATGCTATCCTCGGCCGATAAACTTGAAACTCCCAACGGACATCCCGAAGTACGGGGGTGATACCTGTCCAGTTAGCTTCTTGGCCGATTACACCGCAGCCATGGATTTGCGAGACTCACCCTAGGAGTTCTCTGCTAAAGCGATGCCCACCTTTCTAACAGGGGCCGCTAAGATATGGTTCGATAGCCTTCCCCCGGGAAGCGTTACTTCTTACGCGGACTTAGGGTGAAAGCTCCACGTCCGATTCTTTTCCAGCAAGAGAGCCAAGCGCACCATCCATGACTTGTCATCAGTTCACCAGCATCGGAACGAGTCTTTGGGGGAATACTACGAGAGGTTCACGAAGGAACTCATGATGATAGATCAAGTCGATGATTTGGTGGTGAGGGTCGAGTTCGTGAACGGCCTCTCTCCCTTTGGTGCGGGCACTGCCATGAGGAGCAAGCTCACGGCTAAGCCCCCGGGCACTAACCAGAGGTTGTGGGAGATAGTCGAAAAGGAGATCCGGACGGACGAGTCCATGAAGAGAGTCAGAGAAGCTTTTGCTGAAGGCGAAAAGAAAACAGGGAAGCCGGAGGCAAAGAAACTCAACATCGGATCTCCGAAGTTCGAGTCCAAAGTACCCGTCCTCACCAAAACTAGAAAGGAGATTCTTCAAATTCACAAGAGTGAGTTCAAGCTTCCACCCCCGGGCCGGTCTCAGAATGAATCCTCATCCGAATGGTGGGACTTTCACCGAAGCAAGGGGCATGATACCGAAGATTACTACAGGCTGAAGGAGGAGATTGAGGAGGGTCTTAAGGCAGGTAAGTTTCAAGATTGTATCCAGAAGGGGTCCCAAGAAAAAGCGCTAGGCCAACCCAAGAACCGGAGGTGGAAGAAAAACAAGGCTAAGACCGCCAATCAAGTCCCCATCAGGGACGGGGCCAAAGCCCAGGATGGTGTCGATCCGGCGCAGGCACAGCAGATTTTGGCCGCTCCTGTGGGTGCTATCTATGGGGCGCCCTTGGGGGTCCAGAGTGTTTCCGCTCTCCGCAGGAGTTCGCGCCCCCGACCGCCGGATGAGCCCGAGGCTAAACGCCTCCGTCCCGGGGAGGTGATATCCTTCTCAGAGCAGGATTTGGTAGGTGGATCCGAAGATTACTCCGACGCGTTGGTCATCACGGCCATAGTCGACAACCGGGAAGTTCGACGCGTATACGTTGATAATGGCAGCACAGTGGATGTCATGTACGGTGATTGTTTCCAGAAGTTGGGCCTCGACAAGACTCAGCTCCGCCCCGCGTCCATACCTTTGGTCGGCTTTTCTAACCACGTGATAATGCCGTTAGGCATAATCAGCATGGCGGTTACCATAGGGACTTATCCCAAGGACCGGGTAATTCTCGTCGACTTTGCAGTGGTGGACGTCGTGGCCCCTTTCAATATCATTCTGGGGCGGCCCTGGATGAGTCAGGCGCAGGCCATTTACTCGCCATATCATTTGGTCATGAAGTTTCCGACCGAGGCTGGGATTACAGAAGTTCGGGGAGATCAACAATTGGCGCGACAGTGCATGGTTATCGCCGCAAAGAAAGGGCGTGACTTCCTTCAGGGAAGGATAACCGTCGGGTTCGTCTAGGAGGCCCCGATCTCTGAAGACGAAGACCAAGGAAACGACGACTCTGGTCCCACAGATGACGAGGTTACGGACGTGGCCCTGAATCCTTTTGTAGAAGGAAGGGTCGTCAGCTTAGGAGCTGTTTTGCCCCCCAGTCTTCGTGACATGGTGGTTGAATTGTTGAAGCAGTTCAAAGACGTCTTCGCTTGGAGTCCCAGCGACATGACGGGGATTCCTCCCGAATTGGGCGTGCACAAACTAAATGTTGACTCTAGCGCGCGGCCCATACAGCAGAGGAGGCGGAAGATGGCTCCCGAGCGCAATGCCGCTATCGATGTGGAGGTTACTAAGCTGTTGGCCGCGTCCATCCTCAAGGAGATCTTCTATCCCACATGGTTGGCCAATCCGGTCATGGTAAAGAAGCCCGACTCTTCTTGGCGTATGTGTGTGCTTTATAAGGATCTCAATAAACACTGTCCTAAGGATTGCTACCCTCTTTAGGCAATCGAGCAGAAGGTCGATGCTATCTCGGGATACCCGGTGCTTAGCTTTCTGGACGCGTACAAAGGATACCACCAGATCCTGATGCATGAGGGTGATGCAGAAAAGACGGCCTTCGTCACTGAAAAAGGGGTGTTCTACTATGTGAAAATGCCCTTCGGTCTAAAGAACGCGGGTGCTACTTACCAACGTGTGGCCAATCGCATCTTCGGGGACCAGTTGGGAAGAAACATAGAGGTCTACGTGGATGACATGGTGGTGAAAAGTCGTCGGATTGACTTTGTTGTCAACGACCTCCAAGAGACCTTCCAGACCCTCAGAGCGGCTAATATGAAGTTGAATCCGAAAAAATGTGTGTTCTGCGTCGGATCAGGAAAGTTTTTAGGCTACCATATTTCTCGGAGAGGGATCGATGTGGACCCTTCAAAGATTCAAGCCATCCTGGAAATGCAGCCTCCGCAGTCCGTCAAAGAAGTACAAAGGCTTACCTATTGCCGCCTTAGGGCGCTTTCTGTCGAAGGCGGCCAAGCGGAGCTTGCCATTTTTTCAGGTTCTCAAGAAGTCCGATACCTTCGGCTGGACCGAGACTTGTCAGAAAGCCTTCATGGAACTAAAAGAACACTTGAAGACTCTACTGGCCCTGAGCACACCGGACCCGGGGGAAACTCTGATTCTGTACTTAGCTGTGGGGGAGTCCACGGTGAGTGTAGCCTTGGTGCGGGAATATAAGGGAAAGCAGATCCCTGTTTATTATGTCAGTAAGGTCCTCCTTCCCGCCGAATCTCGGTATACTCCTGCTGAGAAGTTGATTTTTTGCCTCGTGACCGCGGCCCGAAAATTGCGCCCCTATTTCCAGGCGCACCCGATCCTTGTTCTTACGGATCAGCCCCTGCAGCAGATCCTCCGAAGGTCCGACACATCGGACCGGATGACTAAGTGGGCTGTGGAACTCGGGGAGCACGACATAGAATTTCGACCTCGGACCTCTATCAAGGTTCAAGCCTTGGCCGATTTCCTTGTTGAAGTCCCTCGGGGAGTGGAAGCCGAGGCTAGCAAATGTTGTCAAGTCCCAGAGAGATCTTCCCCCACCGGGCAGCAACTATGGGCTTTGTTTGTCGACGGATCTTCCTCGAAAGAAGGTTCGGGCGCCGGCATGGTTCTGATCGATCCCCACGGGTCAGAAATTATTTATGCTATCCAGCTGGATTTTCCGCCACAAATAATGAGGCTGAATATGAAGCATTGATCGCGGGGCTATCCATCGCCCACGCGCTCGGTGTTCAGGAAATCTCGGTTTGCAGTGATTCTCTGGTAGTCGTCAACCATGTTCTTCGGTTGTACGAGGTTCGGGAGGTGGTACTCCAAAAGTATCTTCGGAAAGTCAGGGTGTTGGAACGCGGCTTTCGTGTTTTCCACATTCGGTATATACCAGGGTCGCAGAACAAGAGGGCCAATGCCCTGAGCAAGTTAGCTTCTTCCCGCGCTGTGCACCTAGCCCAACAAATTCATATGGAAGTCAGGACGCGTCCGAGTATCCTGGACGACGAAGTCTTGCCTGTGACGATGGATGAGGTATTTTGGATGACACCCTTTGTCCAGTACCTCCAGACCGGGGCATTACCCGCGGACCTAGGAGAGACCCGGAAGATTCGACTCAAGGCGCCTAAATACTTGATGAGGGATGACATCCTGTACAAGCGAGGGTACCTAACACCCTTGCTGCGCTGTGTCGGACCGCGAGAAGCTGAGACGTTGATCCGGAGCATGCACGAAGGCGCTTGTGGGGCTCACTTAGGTTCACGTAACCTGGCCAAGAAGCTGATCCGCGCCGGATATTACTGGCCTACTCTGTCCCAAGATTGCTATAACATCGTCCTTCGGTGCACGTAATGCCAAAAACATGCCCCTATTCCGCGTCTACCCCAGCATGAGATGGTCCCAATTGGCAGTCCGTGGCCTTTTTACAAGTGGGAAACGGACATAATAGGGCCTTTCACATTGGCCCCGGGTAAGCTCAAGTTCGTGATCGTCGCAATTGACTACTTTTCTAAATGGGTCGAAGCGGAACCTCTGGCCTCCACCAGGGGCAAACGTTGCCAAATTCTTTTGGAAGAACATTGTCTACCGGTTCAGGATTCCGAAAGTCCTTATCTCAGACAACGGGACTCAGTTTGAATCGGGAGTTTTTAAATCCTGGTGTGAGCAGCTTAGGATTGAACAGCGGTTCTCGTCCGTGGCCCATCCCCAGGCCAACGGGTTGGCTGAAAATATAAATAAGGCCATCTTACAGGACATGAAGACACGGCTTAAGAGAGCCGAGGGGCTATGGCCTGAGGAGTTGGCCCACGTCCTCTGGGCCATTCGCACCACCATGAGAACGGCCACGGGGGCAACCCCTTTTAGCCTCGTTTACGGCATGGAAGCCGTTCTCCCAGCTGAAATAGAGGTGTCTAGTCCCCAGGTCGTCAACTTCGCGGAGGAAATGAACGAAGATGAAATCCGTCTTTGCCTTGATTTCCTGGACGAGAGGTGAGACCTGGCCAAAGCCCGCGAAGCTAAATACAAGCAGCTCATGGCCAAGTACTACAATGCCAAGGTCCGGGCTCGGGACTTTGAAGTCAGAGACCTGGTCCTCCAACGAAACGAGGCGAGCCCGCTGAACCGACCGGAAAGCTAGCTCCGAATTGGGAAGGACCATACAAGGTTGTTGAAGTTTCTCCCTCAGGGAGTTATCGCCTGCGCACATGTGATGACGAGCCCCGCGACATCCCTGATGGTGGAACATCCAGAACCTTAGGAAGTTCAATATCTGTAGGCTTCTGCCCACTTTTGTAATAGATATAGCCAAGCAGGAGAACTCCGGCACTTTTGTTGTTAATATACTACTTCCCGTGCCTTTGTGAGAATCCCATCCTTACTGAAGCTGTCTCGACCCTAGTGGCCGACGGCACCGTGTGGCCTCTGCGGCCTACGGAACCCCTACGGTCTTCGTGACCTTGGGGCATTTACAAAGCCGTCACGACCCCAGTGGCCGAAGACACCGTGTGGCCTCCACAGCCTAAGGAACCCCTACGGTCTCCGTGACCTTGGGGCATTTACAAAGCCGTCTCGACCCTAGTGGCCGACGACACCGTATGGCCTCCGCGACCTACGGAACCCTTAAGGTCTCCGTGCCTTTGGGACATTTACAAAGCCGTCTCGACCCCAGTGGCTGACGGCACCGTGTGGCCTCCGCGGCCTACCGAACCCCTACGGTCTTCGTGACCTTGGGGCATTTACAAAGCCGTCTCGACCCCAGTGGCCGACGGTACCGTGTGGCCTCCGCGGCCTACGGAACTCCTACGGTCTCCATGACCTTGGGGCATTTACAAAGCCGTTTCGACCCTAGTGGCCAACGGCACCTAACAGACCTCGCAGCAGTGGAATTCCTAAGTTTCCCGCGGCCCTTGACAAGGTACGGTTTAACTAAACATCGACTAAATCAACGCAACATTAATAATACAGTTGAAATGTAAAACCCGAGGGAAGATACTCATATTACCTCCGTCGGATCGTAGCAAAAAGCGTCGGCAATATACAGAATTTTACATATACAACTGTAAAAGCTTGAATAATAATAATAAAATAAACTAGGAAATAATAATAAAACAAATAAATGAGGAAAAGCAAAAACAAGTCGATGTTCAAAAAGGACGAATCAATTATATATGTGTGAATTTCGAAGGTATGGCCCTCGGATCTATACACTTGGCAAAAACACACCAAAAATCACCTAACCTAGTTACATGTCCCTAGTGAGACCCTCGACCTAACTCATAAAACAGAGCGTCGTTCTCATATATTAGGCGTTCGGCTTCGCGAGTTGGAGAAGTGGGGTCGTCTCGCATGGTCGGACAGGGATCGGGCCACAATGCCTTGAAATCATACTCCTTCCCCGTCTTTACAATAAAAGATATCGCGTTTTCTAAAGCTGCCCGAAGCTTACCAGCATACGCCCGAAGATCCTCAATCTTGTCAGAGGACCGATCCCACTTTACAGCAACTAAGGCATAAGCCTTCCGGAGATGTACCAAGACGCTCTCGAAATAGTTGCGGGGAATAAAATCCTCCGGGTCTGGTTCGGTCAAACCCTCGTCCTTCTTTTTCTTCCGTATCTTGGCTTCGAATGTCCGGAGGCGATTGTTAGCCAATATCTCTAACTGTATAGAGTTCTTCAAGTGATCCTCCCAGTAGGCCTCCGTGTCCCTTCATAACTTATCCAGCCGGTCGTTTTCGGCCTCGCCTCTATGACGGCCCTGCGTGCCTCGTGCAGCTCCGAGGCCCTGAAAGTTTCCAAGGCCTCTTCCAGCTGGCCCTCGAGACCCGACAGCCGTCCTCGGCTCCTGTCAACGGTTGGATCTACCAAAGCGCCTCCGACTGCCGCATACAATGGAAAGGTCGTCAGGTCATAATGAAGGTCGGGCAACTGTAGGTCGATCCAGGGAATCCCAGATGTTTCCCAATGACCCAGAGTCGCGAGCACGCCTCGAGAGGTTCCCTCGGGCTGATGGGGGAAGTCCGAAGCCGCGTCCTTCCCCTGAAAGGAAGCGTGTGTTAATGGGAAGATTAGGAGGCGCGGGCTAGAAGGTATCCTCAGAGGTAAAAATAAGATTGAGCCGACGAACAAAGACGAAATTATTAAGAAACAAACAAGTTTGAAACAAGCAATGAAACAGAAACAAACAAGTTTGAAACAAGTAATGAAACGAGTCAATAACAAGTCGGCCGTGAATAAAATAGAAATTCATTAATACTCGGTTAAAAGAGTTACAACGGGGAGAAGGCCCCGAAGACAGGTGATCACTATGAGGAGTCCTAACCCTACGCATCGTTCACCTTGTCTCCGTTGTCGGTGTTGGAGTCTGTTAAGGTGCCCCCTCCTCCGCGGCTTCAGAGTTGTGCCCTTGGGGGGGAGGTGCAGGTCCGATTATCTCCGGCTCCTCGTCGGGTCCCGGCGGCGTGCTCGGAGGCGTTTGTGTTCCCCTCGGCATCTGAAAGACGAAGGAAGGGCTGCCCGGGATATTCAGGATGTCTTCGGGCTTTGAAATGGAGGGGCAAGTCCCGGCGATCTGTTGCATGATGGGGAGCTGTGCGAAGTCCATGTCCCAAAAGTGCTTCCGGGCCTTGCACCGCAGCCTTACCGCGGACGTCTTTCCCTTCATCTCCCTATCAGCGTACTTATCGAGGATGGGTTGGATGTCCTCATTCTTCCTCCGGGCCGCCTCTATCTCCATGACGACCTTCCTCGCCCCTCTTTCCATTGCAGGGTCCATGACGTCGTTTATCCCGAGGGCGAACTCGGACGACCCCAAGTACCTCTGAACCCCTGCGAGAATGTACGCATCCAGGCGAGATTTGGGGACGTTCGTTGCCAGCAGACTCTCCATTTGGAGACTGTGGGTCAGTTCCATGCCTTCGAGCTGCGCCCTCATTCTCGTGACGTCCTTCTCCAGTCTCCTCCTATCCTCTTCCAGGGCCTCGAGCCGCGTCTCAGTCTCTCTGGCTTTGCTGGCCTCACTGGCGGCCTTCCTTCTGGCCGAAGCCAGCTGTCCCTCCAAGTCTGCGCACACGGACACGAAGGAGTTCACCGCCTGCACAGCCTGCATGACGGATACCCTTGATCAGTAAGGGAACCCTCCAAGTACGAGGAGTAAGTACTAGAGCAAAAATTTTACCTGTCTCATGCCGTCCCCCAGCCGCGGCACTCCGGCGACGGGCAAGTCCACGCATTTGACCCGTGGAGGATCGAACACCAGCAGAGCGTGACCCTCGGGTACGCCCTCGAACTGGCCTGTCCCCCGCCCTTGATCCTCGTACCCCTCCTTCAAAAGTTCGTCGATGGAGGATAGCTCGTGAATCACAGGCAAGCTAAAGGACAGAGGATCGACCTCCACCACCTCAGGATCCCCCCGCTTCCTTTTTTGAAGGCCCGAGGTTTGGCCCGAGGGGTTCCTCTTCCTCGAACTTTCTGCGCGCACCCTCGTCATCTGACTGGAGGGTGCTTGACCCATTTTCCGTTGGGGAGTTCCTTGCGGCCTCTCCTCGGGATACTGCTCCTCCTCGTCTGAATCATCAAAAGCCAAGCGTTTACCCATCAGATTAGCAAATATACCTATCAACAAAAAAATAACCAAAATTAGTCTCCGGGTAAAATACCTTGGTTACGGGAGCTGATCGTATCGGTTAACGGCGTGATTTGCCTATAGGTGTAGGTCTTCTTCCACTCAACCAATTTGTCTAAGTCCCCTCTTCGGGTTTCCATGTCTTTCTTATCCTTCTTGGTCCACGGATCTAAGCTGGTCGTTCCTCCCTCGTCCGGCGTCCACAGAAAGAGGGCAACGAAGTTCACGTCCACGTAAAAGAAGCCCGACCTCTAATGCTTGGAACTCTCGTTCTTCGCTACTAATTCTTTGGAAGGCCCGTGTGGATTTTTGGTGAAGCTGAACCACCCGGGGAAACTCTTCCCGCATCGGACGAGTTTGTAGAAACATCTAAATAAGAAAATATCTGGCTCTACCCCCGTCTTGTTACATACGTGTACGAAGGCTAACACTATGGTTATGAGGTTCGGGGTGTATTGGGCTAGGGGTCGGCCGTAGGCTTCCACTATCATCCTGAACATGCGCATCAGGGGAAAGTGCAGCCCGTATTCCAAAAACTTCTCATAAATTGTGATTTTCCCCGGAGGGGGAGTACTGGCTCTCTCATGGCCTTCTGGTAAGGTGGGTTGATAGCCGTAAGGCTATAGTGGTTTTCTAAATCACTTAACCTATCTTGGTTTAGCGAACACTCAACGTCCTCTACCCTAACTACCTCTTTGGCCATGTGGTAAATCGAACGTACAAGAGAAGAGGGGGACTTACTCGTTAAGGGTCGATTAGAAGCCGCTACGGTCAGTCGCCGGCCGTGATTCTGATTCCCGAATGGTAATATGCTCTGATTCGCGAAAGAGAAAATAGAAGAGAAGAAGTCGGAGATCAGTATGTTTGAAACTTGAAAGCAAAAGAGAGAAAAAAAAATGAATTGCGGTGTCCTGTGGGAGAGTTATATACTCCAGAGAAGAGGAACAGTCCCCTCTATTTTCCATCCAGCGCCATCATTATGGCGCAGCCTCCCATGAGATCCTACACATCCATCACATTTGAGCGGGAAGAGCCAAGGGCCGTTGGATCTAGGGCGGTCGTGAGATGGAAGATTTTGGAAGTTGGGCTGGTTTGTTGGGCCTAGAACTCCTTTGTGTCAAGCCCAATCCGGCTTTGCTGCAATGGGCTTGACAGGGGCATTTGATGGGGGGTCAACTCCGACCCACTTTGACCGGCCCAACTGGCCATCCGGCTTGGGCTTATCTTGTAAGCCCAAGAAGTCTATTTATTCCTTCCTAAAGGCCCAGCCGGGTTACAAGGAATAAATACATGTTTATTTACGCTTTTGCCCCTCCCAACACAGGGGCCCACAGGTATTGTCCCATTGGGACCTATAAATACTCCTTGTTCATTTATTGCTAACTCAATTCCACACTCCCGTTTCTCTCTCTAAGTGTGATAATTGCCTAATTCTCTCCCTAGAACTGACTTAATCTTCGGAGTGCTAACCTCTGTCTTGCAGGTTCCTGTCTAGGTCGGATCGTTGGCTCTCCGCCCCCGGGATTTACCCTCGACAGTGGGTATAAAATAAATAGATCAAAATCGAGGGGAAGAAGTGTAAATGCGTGTTCTGCAAAAATATAAACAAAACATTCAACGGGAAAAGGTACTAATTTGAGTCATTGTTCGTATCGAATAGATCTAGAAAGTTTATCAGCTCAATTCTCATTTTAGAAGGTGTATAATCCAAATACTTTCCATCTGAGATTCGTTACCAATCTTTTCGAAATATTTATACAAATCGCGGTTGGTTTTTTTTTTTTTTTGGTAATGAATCCAAGTGTTTTTGAGGAAATCCAAACATTTATTCGGTTCAGAGAAGGGGTCAGATCGATTGAATTAATCAGCATCACTTCAAGGGATTGAAAGCTACTGGGGTGTTCGCAGATAAAAGCGTCCTTGATTATAGATGGATATACGTCTGTTTTGATGTGTATCTTTTATGATTCAATATAATTTGGTTCGTGATATGAAGGATTGTTCAATCAAAGTTTTTGAGCTGTAGTCATTCAAGATTCTAGGTCGGCGTTCCCATTTTAATATGGGCGCAATAAGTATTATTTCGATTGTACTTAAGGAGGTAATATTATTGACAGTAGCATACGGTATGCTATTTCTTTTCGTTTACAGTTATGTATTTCAATCATGAAATACAATTACAAATGTATGTTTGAACATGTAAATGGTGTTGTGCAGAAGATGTTCGATGAAATGCTTAGTCAATGTTCAGTATGAAAGCTGGAGTTTAACATGCAAGATGATATTTGGGCAAATTGTTTTTTGATGAGGTAATTATAAAGTTTTTTTTAAACTTTTTTTTGATATTATTTAATTGATATGTTCTGTGTTAAAATACATTTCTATTTGTAATTATTGAGTATATTATTTTTTGTGTTTAACAGTTAATTGAATGTTTGTGTGTATTTGTTTCTATGGTGTTCATAATATATTGTTCTCAAATCTGTGGTTAGAATGTATTTTTGGAAGAAGGATAATGATTTTAGGATAAGAAATAACTCACAGATGTCATAATTTTTGCTTCATAAAAATATTCAGGTTACTCAGCCATCCATATAACTTAATATGTAGTTATTTAAATGTATAAGTACTAACTGAATTAATAAATTTCGAATTAAAATATAAATTATACGCAGAATATCTGAAAATATTATTCTCATCTAAGCTTAAACAGAATAATTTAACATACTGTTAATAAAAAGGAATTTAAAACAACTAATTTTACCTAACGTTTCGCAGAGCTTCCTTGTAGACCACATTCATAGTTTTGTCTGGTTTTGTACCTTCACCGTCACAAATCAGCACTTTCAAACCTTTTTTAGAGGTTAACCTTGACAGAGCCATGTATAACTGGCCGTGGCTGAAAACTGGTCGTGGTAGGTAAAGTCCCAACTGTAGAAAGAGACTGACCTTGACTTTTGTTAATGGTCATAGCAAAACATATTGCTATGGGAAACTGCCTCCTCTTCATTTTGAAAGGAATGTTCCTGTCAGATGGAATTATTTTCATCATGGGAATAGGCACAACATGACCAATATTGCTTCCTGATATAATTCTCCCTTCTATCACGTAACGTCCCATACGTGTAACCTGTAGTCTAGTCCTGTTGCACAGTCCTAACTTTTGATTAATGTTACGGAGTAGAATGATTGGAACATTACGTTTCAATACCAATCTGTGATTGGGAAGACCTGAAGCCTTTACACTGTTGAGAAATTCAGGAGTGTATGTACCCTGATCTGATTTACCTCCATGCTCAGAATTACACATACTGTCTGAACTGAGGTTTTCACGTTCTTCGCCAGGTAATAGACTTGTCATGTAATCATTGACCTTATCAATAACTTCATGTGTTGGTCCTAAAATAGCTTTTTCGAGGAACCAGACAGGGTTTTCGAGGTTATTTAATAAATTTGGATATATAGTCTTAACAATAATTTCGATAGGATCTCCTAGTTCCTGTATAATGACATCATATGGGAATTCAATCTCAACTTCACCATCATTTGGTTCATTTACCTTTCCTTCTCCGATCTTTAGAAGCCAGTCAGCAAACTCGCGTATCTCATCAGGACTATTTGTTGTATCACCAACACGTAGCCTGATGTTAGGAGTCAACCTTAGTACCTTACAATGCCTCCATAAGTAGGAAGAGTTTATTGCAGAACTGACAATGTCAGCTCTTGTACCTTTTGGAATCACAGGCAATATCTGCTTGAAATCACCTCCGAGAACAACAACTTTACCTCCGAATGGTTGTTCTACACCTTCTGGATTTGTACATCGTAATACATCCTTTAGTGTCCTATCCAGAGCTTGAAAGCAATGTTTATGTACCATCGGTGCCTCATCCCATATAATAAGTTTTGCTCTTATAACCAAAGCACACAAATCACTTCCTGGTTTGATGGTACATGTTGATTCATCAGTAATGTCAATTGGTATTTGAAATCTTGAATGAGCAGTCTTTCCACCAACCAACAACAACGAAGCAATGCCACTTGATGCTACATTTTATACAATTTCACCTTCCATCCAAATGGCAGCTGAAAGTGTGCGATAGACATATGTCGTTTCAGTCCCACCGTAACCATAAACGAAAAATAAACCTCCTTTACCTCTTTCAATTGCACCTGTAATCTGTTTGTAAATTTTCCTGTGCTCATCAGTCGAATTCTCGTATAGCACATCATGTTCTTCTCTCAATTCTTATCTATTATAGTCTAATTCATCATGAATCATGGTGTTGGTTCCATCATCAATGAAAACATCTCCTGGATATGGCATACCAGGAAATTGCTTTAGGGATTTACCATGAGTCCGTAGAATAAACTCAATTTCCTTCAATGCATGCATTTTCTTCTCATCTTCGGACACTACGTAATCTATGTGTAACATGTTTTATGGGTAATAACATTAGTAACAAACAAAAACAAATCATAGTTCATTAAAATGGAATATATAATGTTGAAACATCCGTGAAAACTTAAGATAACAAACTAGAAGAAAATATACCTTCATTCATGTACAAACGCTTTTAACTTAAATGGTATATCTTCCGTGTAGCAGACCCAAGTCTGCTCTAGGACATTATAAGGTTTAGAAAGAATTTCTCCATCTAATAGCTCTACAAAAAGATGTCTGTGGTAACTTACTGACCCCCAAGTTGATGCTTCCATTATGCAATCAATGTATTCCTTATCATCTTCCAGTAAACCCCTAGCGAAGCAAGCTTCTTTGAAAGAAGTGTATTCTATATCATCTACTATCATTATTTATTCATAACATGTTGGACCTTTAACAATATTAAGAAGCATTCTTAGATAATAAGGTTCACCAGCAACTATGGGAACTTCATGAATCTTGCCAATGCTATCACCTCTTTGCCTCGGCTTCCACATTTTGTCCTTTCTCTTCCACACAAACTTGGATGAAAAATTTATGTACGGAAGATTTCTTGCTTCAGGGTATATGCTGTTACATTCCATCCATGCAGTGAACTTTGACTCTCTTTAGAAGCTTTGCTGATAACAGATTCAATTGTCTGGTCTTCATCGTATACTACACTTTGCTGACCAGGCATATGGAAGCTTAATCGTT